GTAACGGGCAATTTCATTTTATTTTATTTTTCCTCGTAAGGTTATTTTACCTAATCTGAATTGGACGTGATTTAAAAAGTCAATAACGTACATTTTTCCTCAAATTCATTGCCTAGCAACAAACAAAATGCACGATGAAATCTTTACTCAAATCCAATATTTGCATTTCATAATGTCTCAAGATAATCACCTGCATGTTTCATGATTCGCAAAGGTTATGACATATATATAAACTAATAGTATGCGTATATGACTTGCAACTAATAATAACCTTAACAATAAGCATGCATGCTTTGATGATTTACAAGGTTATGACTTAAAGATAATAATTTCCTGATATCGAAAAGAAAAATGGTCTCCTAACTCTCTATAAAAATAGTTTCATTAGAATCTAATTAATTAAATTAGTCTCATAATATTTAAAATTGACCAATTTGATGACAATTTTGGTTGAAATGGTTGATTTTATGAGGAAATCGGCGTCTGATCAAATTTCCAGTCAAAATAGTCCTCAAATAGGTTAAGTAAAAGCTGAACTAATGATGTAGGGAAGCGTACGAATGAGAAAGATAAACGAACGAGATACTCTCTCGATAAAACTCACAATCTCATTTTTCATTCAATAATCAACTAATGAAAATAAACTAGAGGGAGTCCTTTATATAAGGCTCCTAACCCTAGACCTAACTTGTCCAACAAGACAAGAGCTCTTATTAAATATTAAACAATTCATAACTTATTCTCTAAGATATCTAATAATAATAATAATAATAATAATAATAATAATAATAGATATGTCTACACCATTCTCCCCCGGTTGAGCAGGATTCGCCCTCGAATCTGACTCGTTCCTGTTGGAGACGTCCTCAAGACAGCAACAGCCCGAACGTTTCCCCTGATCGAACACGAAGGTTGAAAGTCGTCCAACAATCTCGAAGGTAAACATAATCTCGGTCAAGGATTCAACTGCCGCAAAGTCACATGTACACGACACCCGACGCAAAGCCCACACAACCGAATGAACACAAAACAAACCACATCGTTCACCGCGCATAAATCTATAACTACGGCCAAGCATCCCGGTGTTGGGAGACTTCGGGAACAACAATCGAAAAATGGCCCACCAGTTATGGAGTCTCGACTTCGGCTCCGAAAAACCATCTTTGGCTAAAATACTCAAAAAATCGGGTGTGAATGACGGCTGCTCATTCGAAGACTCAACAGTTGCGACGTCCCACGCGGGACCCATATTACTGCAAAAATATGTCTTCGTCACCGAAGGCTCTTCATCAAAAATTGGTGGACCGTCGTAGATATCGCACGTGTCGGGCTCACAATTCAGGTAATCTATAAACTCGAAGTCAAAGCCTATTCATGGCTGTTCAAGCCCAAAATAAGGATTAAATTCATCCTTCCCCTCAGCCCAATAAATTGAATTGGGCGCAGGCCCAAAAACGACATCACCCTCACAAGCCCCAAAAATGCTTTTGTGAGGTCCAGAAGTGCAACTGGAGTCGTCTCTTTCACACGCCCAAAATCCGCCTCCATGTACGAAACTACCTCCAGCCCGCCGTTGCTCGCGAACTCGGGGTTGACCTGTGGTTTCGTCTCCTCGCCATGGTGGTCGATCTGCCAACGGGTTAGCCGACCAGGTAAAGTCACCATCCTTGATGCCGTTCAGAGGTGGCGGGGATCGCTGCCGGGGCGCCCCGACATGGCTGCGTCCCCCACAACCGCCTCTGTCTCCCCCGCGAAAGCCACGGGCCACAGCCCCATCGCGGTTCGTCTGCAATTCCGAAACAATCACGTTGTTAAGCGTCAAATGCACATCCTCGATCCCCGTCGAAAGATCGGCAAACCAATCCGTGAAACGCACGTCCAATTGTTCAAATCGGTAGTCGATCTGTTGAAACCGATCGTTGAAGGTTGCGTCACGTCGTTCGTCTGCGGCATCTTCTCGTCCCGGCGACATCGCGAATCGTACTGACTACTGATACCAACTGATGTAGGGAAGCGTACGAATGGGAAAGATAAACGAAAGAGATACTCTCTCGATAAAACTTACAATCTCATTTTTCATTCAATAATCAACTAATGAAAATAAACTAGAGGGAGTCCTTTATATAAGGCTCGTAACCCTAGACCTAACTTGTCCAACAAGACAAGAGCTCTTATTAAATATTAAACAATTCATAACTTATTCTCTAAGATATCTAATAATAATAATAATATTAATAATAATGATAATAGATATGTCTACACCAACTAACCTTCAAATTTCCAGTCAAAATCCTCAAACATGTTAAGTAAAAGACGAGCTAACCTCTAAATCACTTCATGGTATGGTATATATGCGATATTAACAAATCACACAACTTTCAACTTTTAACATATGCAATAAGAACATTTTTTTTTTAATCTAGCAACTAAATTAATATATCTATTATATATCCATTGGTTATATTGTATATAAGTTTATTGTTTGAGGTGTTTATAGTAGTGCGTTTTAAAGGTATGAACATACCCACAATTCTGTACGTATGATCATTTTTTCCTTTGAAAAAAATAAAAGTGTCATTTACTTACACCCACACATACTGAAAACAGCTGCACCCAAATATTCGCATGTCGCGTTTTTGAGTGACGACTTACTATCATATCTTATGGCAGACACCAAATAAGCCACTATCACCTTGGGTATAGATTTGCACACAATGACATGAGTTTCAAACTTTCAATTTTTGGCACATTTCTTCTCTCCCTCTCTCTTTTGTAGTAATGTTATTCCATATAAGCTAGTACAGAGCCCCGTGCGATGCACGGGGTGCACAATTTTAAGGTTATTTATCCAGACTTATAATTATATAAGTGAATAAAGAAAAATGTACGAGATATATATAGTACGTGCGAAGCACGAGATATATTTATTTGGAGAATATGATATTATAAGATGCAATATTCAACAAAAGTTTATAATACGCAAGAAATTGTACAATGTTCAATAAAAGTTTTATAATATTCAAGTAGAGTCTTAAAGTCTCTTGTACATTAAAACTACTGACAAAATAATATTTTAATCAATGAGTTTCCTTTCCTATTATGAATGTGATTTGAGGAGTACAACAAATCGATATATAGCTGACTTGCTTTTTTCATTGTAATTTTTTTTTCTTTTTTTTTACAATGAATTTAAAGATATTCTAAAATATAGCAAAAATTAATTTTTTTATTACAATTAGGAATTTTACTAAATATAAACTCTCAATCTATGTTGTTAATCAACGTTTAAGTCTAAAAAATTAAGAATTTTTACTTCTTTTAATCAACGTTTAAGTCTAAAAAGCAATAGAGTTATTATAAGTTTTTTTTCTACATCTTTTAAAACATTAAATATGAGCATGTTAGGGTTAGCTTGTAAAATAATTAATATATTATATCATTAAAACATTTATACTAATAAAAATTTAATTTTAGCATATAAATTTATCCCTTGATATAAGAGAAAGTAACAGTTTTACTTATTGTTGTTCATCATATAATATTTAATTATTATTTTATTATATAATAAAAAAGGAATATTGTTAAATAGTGTAGTAGAATTGTTATAAAATTATATGATTTTTTTTTTTACAATATGGATTTAATATTTTTTTATGATTTGATAATATAAACAAATCTATACTTAACTTTGACAAATAAAACAAATAAATATTTTAGCAAGTATTTAATGTATATACTAAATAGGAATATATTTGGTATAATTAAATACCAAATATAATCAAATAAGTCAAAGTGTACATTTTATTTGGTATTTGATTTTTTTATTATTAAAATCTTTTTATTATACTTATCTTTTTAAAATAAAACAAATAAAAAAATCAATTAAATAAATAAAATATTATAATACCAAAATAGTAATGACATTTAATGCATTTGACTTTTCTGGATAGTAAATGTAGTAAATAGAATATCCTTTTATATAGTATAATACGGAAATAGTAATGCAATAAATGCTGTTGACTTTTCTGACTACTTAATTTGGTATATAGTACCCCCTTTAATATAAGTATAGATTAGGATGTAAATGAGCAGAACGGGCTCGAGCTTCTAATACTCGAGCTCGAGACTTTATTAAGCCAAGCTGAGCCGAGCTCGATTTATTAACTAATTGAGCCGATAAACGAACCTGATCTCTGCTCGTTTATCAAAATTAAAAATCGAGCTAAAGTATAATTAAGTAATAGTTCAAGAAACTACGTAAAACTCTCCATTTTTTGAGCCTTAACGAACTGAGTTGAGCTCAACTCGTCAACTAATCGAGCCGATAAATGCGATCTAGGGTAACTCGTTTAACAAAATTAACGAACCGAACTCGAGTCTTAACAACCCGAGCTAATGTAATAATTCAAGTAATTACGCAAAGACCCCTATTTGTCGGGCTTTAATGAGTCAAGACGAGTCTTAACGATGAAATACGGGGTCACCGCAAAACAAATTTATCGTTTCTTTTAATGTACGAGATTAATTAATTAACAAACTATGAAGGAGAAAGCAGATATCATGAATTTAAATTTGAGCTTTTTTAGTAACAAAAATTACAATATACCTGTAGAGTGTATCACTTGGTTGATGATTCAATTGAAAATGCTCAAAATGCTCTGCCTTGCCTGCATTTTTTCTGATATTTTTTTCCCCCCTTTCCCCTTCGAGAAAATTGAAAAATGAGAAAAAAATAAAAATAAAAATAAAAATGAAAGGGTTATTTTTCCCTTATGCACACTGAGCACACACTCAAGTGATATAGCAATTGGCTCTATCAAAACCAGAATTAATATATAAGAGAACAATAAAAGCAAACTGCAGCATACACTTTTCAATATTTTTGAAACTGAAAATGACATTTATGCATGCTAAATGTAAAGTTAGTTACATAGGCGCACAATGCATGCATCAAGAAACATGAATCCCACACTCAAATCACATTCAAAAGCAAGTCCTATCAATTATCTCCTGCATATATCTCGATGAGAAAATCGTGTCACAAGATAATCATGAAGAGTAAAAACTTTCGACAAAATAAGAAAAGAAGAAAAATATGAGGATCTTTTAAGTTTCAATAGTTTTAAGCCGTTTACACGCCGAGTCTTGACAAATTAGCTATATGTCCTGACTAATTAATAAGCAATGTGTTGTAAATAGATTTCTAATAATATTACATTCTAATTAATAGTGCATGAAAACAAAAATAACAACAACAAAAAAAAAAATGTACACTAGCATGGCAACATATATAACAATTTCGTGTAAAATGAGGTGCAATTGTATGATCTTGAATGTCCAAAGAAGTCTCGTAAAATGTCTCAGGTTTTTCAAATAGCACCGGAACCATCTTCAAATGTGGACAAAGCAAAGGGGGCAATAGCCACATTGAACGTTCGAGCATCGATTTTATCGATATGCTTCATTTCAAAATCACCCTCCTACAAAGATAGTGAGTAAATCGAGTGAATTACAAACTTTATTACATAAACTAATATTGCCAAATACCAACTAGCTCGGATAAGTAAGGTTCTATATGTCTCTTTACCGGAAAAGAAAGATATTTTTTTTTTTTCATTTCGCAAGTTTATATATATTCTTGATTTTGTAGGTGTAGTTAATCATATATAGTCTAACCTTAGCCAGTTTTAGAAAAGGGGGAAAAATATTTCTTTTGTGCCTGTCGTATTAGAAGAATTAGATGTTTTAGAATTTTTTGTACATAGAACCTTAAACGAAACAAAAACAAAAACAGAGGATTTAGCCACCAAAAGTCACCTTCAAGTGGATATCACAACATGTAATAAGTATACAAGACATGGATTTCATCTTGTGAAAATATTTAAATCAAACATTTCATATAGAATTCAAGAATAGCTATTATAGTTTCAAGGCAATGATAATAAAAATGGGGTTTCAAATTTACATGGCAACATTTAATTCAGAAATCTCACCATTCTTCCATTAGACGTGCTTAAGGGACAAGCAGATGAATACTCGAAACCCGTTTTAGGAAGTATAACTGGTTGTTCACCTATAACTCCAATACCCCTGATTAAAACAACACAAAAACTCAGTCAAGAAAGAAAAAATATATAAAAAAAGGAGAGAAAGAAAATGTAAGCTACTCTAAGAAACTATGAAGAAAAATAAAAAGTATAAGAAAATGAGAACATACTGCACGCTCTCGGTTTTGCCATTGGCATCGGTTATGATCCAATGCCTTCTTAGAAGCTGTACGGGCCGATCTGAATTGTTCGTGATTCTAATCCTATATGCAAAAAAGTAGAGGCCTTTTGAAGGCTGACTTCTAGCTTCAATGTACACACTCCTAACTTGAACTCTAATACCCTGCAAAAATTGGTATTAACAAGATTTAGATGCTATAATCGAAAAACATAATGGAATAATCAATAGATCAAATAATGTTTGGCCACAAGAAAGTACCACAAACTCAAGTTTTAAATATCATATATTCATAGCCTAAGACTAAAATGTGAAATTATACCAAGGTAGTTGCATCACTCGAGCACTTCAAGAGAAAATGAGGCGCGATTTCCTTCAACTCATCTCGGTACCTAGCCGCATCCTAGAGTTACATTCCATGTACACACGAACAAAAGTATGTTGATACATAAATTGATAAAATTCAAAGGTATAGCTTTGATTTAATCTGTTAAACAGTCTAATAATTCAAAGGCATGCCTCGAATCTCTCTTGTGCAATGGCCTCTTTCAACAACCTCTGCAGACGCAAAACCGGCTCCTCCTCCTCAAATAGCTTCAGTGAATCACGCAATCGAGCAGCTTCCTTATAATCCTAACCCAATCATCATAACATGAAAATTAATCTCAAATCAAGAAAACTTAAATCAGCCAGAATGCCAACTTTAATCAACCGCCAAGCATAAGACCACAAGGACAAATTCACAATAAACCCACTCAATAATATAATTGATGCAAATCAAAGCACAAAGCCACACATAACAATCAAATGAACAAAAGGTATCACAATCCACAAAAAAAATGAGCAAACCAAAAACAACACCTCAGATTTTGCCGCGACTTCCAGCTGCTGCTTGAGCAAAGCATACGTTTCGGTCCGAGAAAGATGCGAACTTTGGCTCGGGCCTTGAAGTGGTCCATGCCCCGAACCCGAGCCCGGCCCAGACAGACTGCAAGCGACAACCCGATTAACTCTCAAACTGTAAACCTTCGGGCTTCTGTCGACCCGACCTGGAAACGACAGCGCTTTGCAGCCCGTAACCATTTTCAAATTCACAGAATGCATTTCGCACAAAATGGGTACGCTTGTGCGTTTTTTTTCCCCTAAGTTTCAAGCTTTTCTTCTGGTTTTTCACTTTCACTTCAAGCTATGCGGGCCCTTTGATCAATGGAGGCTAACAGGAAAAGGGGCGGACTGAAATTACATAATGGGGCCATGGACGTGTGCAAGATTGAGCTAGGGTTCGAGGGCAATGAAGGGATTTCACTGAGTGTTGATATTTTCGATTTGTTTCAGTGGCTTGGAGCCATTTGAGAGTGAGGTGGAGGAGATGAAGTGAAAAGGGGAGAGAGATTTGTGCTGTTTAGAGGAAGGGAAATTGACACGTAGGTTGAATTAAGTTGCTATTTTTGGGTAATTGTCTATAAATATAAATATGTGTGTAAAGTAAATAAGTAGGAATTAAATTACTGAAAATTGGTCAAGTGATCATGTGTTAAAAATTATTGTCACATTTAAATTTTTAATGGATATATCAATTAGCAGAAATGAAAATATGCTATAAAAAGGAAATCTATCTATATATATATAATAAGAATTAACATTTACCACAAATAGTAGTAAGGAAAAGTCAACCCACATTTATTATATACTATTTTAAGCAAATTTTTTATTTTACATTTTAATTTTAATTCATTATCAAAAAATTGAATGGTTCCTAAATTAATGGGTTTTAGATGCACGTATTCTGTTTCAAAAATTATAAATCATTTAAAATCGGATGGTTCCTAAATTAATGGTTATAAACTTTTCAAAGTTATAATCTTTATGGCATCTTTTCTTTTTGACTTTTAATAATAAAATTATTTTAAATATATATATTCTAATCCAAAAATTCAATCATGTTAAATATATATATATATATATATTGAATGCTAAAAATATTTTTTAAATTGCATACCCAATCAATTAATCTTGATTTTTTTTAAATTACTATGTTTATTTTTTATTAATATGCAAAATAAAAATAAATAATTTATCTTTAGATATATAATTTATAATATTAATATACTATCGTTTGGTGTAGACATATATATCATAAATTTTTTTTATTTCATACAATTAAATATTATATTTAAAGAAAATAAGGAAATTACTTTGGATCAATCGGGTGATTGAATTAGGGTATTGCCCACGTTGATTGAATTATTTTTAGGTGATATTTAAAATAGTAAAAAAACTTGACACAACTTGGTTGGTCCCAGGTAACTAAGTTATGTATCAGTTTGACCATACCAAATCGATTATTGAACCTAAATATAAATTTTAATATTGAAAATATTTTATTACGTGAATATGATGTAGTCCAAACTTCAAATAATCATATTAAGAATACTTTTATGACAACATGATTAATGATTTATGAATATTTATATATTATTTATTATTATTTATTATTATTTATGTGAACAAAATAATTATTTTATTATCATTTTTACTAATGTACGGTAAATATAAGGTTTTCAGAACCGGACAATCATCGAAACGATCAAGTTATTTTATTAAATCATTTGTGGTTGTTCAGATTTTAATACATAATACATTAATATATATATATATATATAGTACTTTTTGTAATAAATTTAAATAAAAAGTGTTACTTAAATATCTAAACAATTTATAAATTCAAACGTTTAAATCAATTGATAAACAATTTATAAATCTCTATTTTATTTAAATATGTAATTTTATTTAAAATAATTTTTAATGTAACAAAATTTGTTTAAAAAATCGTATCGATCCTACCAGTCTAACAGACTGGTGCTGACGGATTTGATAACAAATATTTTATTCAAGCGCACTAAACTGGTTATAAACCAGTTCTCGGTCCATCCGGTCGGACTGTGTCCAACCCGATTTAATTTAAAAATAATGAGTAAATTATGATTAAATTTATTTATTTATTTAATTTATAATACAATCAAAATATTATTTTCCCGTGCATCGTACGGGCCACGCACTAGTTATTTACCAAATAAAAATATACATTTGGGGAACCCTTTAATTATGAAACTTAATGCTACCATTGAAAAATAGAACTTTGTGACAAATTATAGTTGGTAGCATAGTTTTTAAACGCGGCCCGGAAATTAACTCGGGCAGATCTCCGGGTCACCGGGTCAATTGCTGAACCAAACAATTATTTTAAAATTTTGAAAATTATATATATAGTATTTTTGATATATTAATGCTCTGTATATAAAATTTATACATCAAAGTGTTACAAAAAATTGTATCTCACAATAAATATTTTCTAATCAATATATTTACATAGTTTTTTATTTTTTACATAAAAAAATATTTAAGAAAATAAAAAAATTCAAAGGGATCGGGTTGGCCTGGTTTTGACCAGGTCCATTGTTACCTGCTCCAAATAGCAAACTCGGACCGGTTCCGATTCCGCGTAGACCCGCCGGGACAGTCCGGATTGAAAAACAATGGTTGGTAGTTGTTTTGTGGATTTAACAACGGTTATACTATTTAAAATATATATATATACATATCAAAAAATTATATTTTATAATATAATATAAAATAAAAAGTACCATATTTATAGTACTAATTTTTATTTTTATTTTTGTAAAAAAGTATAATTTTGTAATGGTTAAATTGTTTGACAATAAAAAATATTTTTCAAAATACTTTTCCGAAAAGACTTTCTCTTTCTAAAAATTCCTCTCGGCATAACAAAAACAATTGAAATTCCACCGCCCTTTCCAGACTGGTCGTCCACAGCGAGCTACTCTTTCGGCCATGTCTGGGCCGGCAACAGCGACATTCTTCGACCCTTTGTCTTGCCATGGACAGAAGTTCGATGAACAATGGGTTACCTCTCTTCCCGGCCAACGTTGGGGTTGGTCATGGAGGCTTTCGCCGGCGAGAATTTGAGGCCTTTTTGGCTTCTAGTCTCTCCCTGGTCTACGACTTTTGGGAGATCATATTTGGGCTTCAGTCTATTCTCTCCATCGGATTTGCATAATCTTTTGAGTTTGATCGAGTTTATTGGTTAGGAAGATCTAGATCTATTGTTCTTATTTCGTCTTTGTATCTGGGAACTGGCGTACGTGCTTGAGACGAGTAGCATCTGCAAGAGGACCTCTAGAAGTGGGGAGGTTGTACTCTTTTTTGTTTGTAGATATGTGTAGTTTTTATTTTTATTTTTTTCTTTTTGATTTGTGCTTTTGGTAGTCCCGATTTTGTCCGTTTTTAGTTGTCTCCAATGTTTGGAGTTTTTTTTGTCTCTCCGGAAGTGTTTTAATAGTAGACTAAAGGATGTTTGTGTAATCGAAAGAGGATATAGGTCCAGGCTTTGTATTGGTCTATGTGATGTCAGTTGACATCAGGATTATATTTTTTTTAGTTTTATATATATTACTATTATTTGAGAAAGAGAGAAAAAAATATTGATTAACAGCATATGAATAATAGTCAGTTAGAGGCCCGTGTAAGCCCACCAAGCCCATCCTTACTTGTTACAATTGAGTTGTACCTTTTGATCGGGTTATTGAGTTATCTCCACAAATAAGCCCAATGGATATGGCTAGCTCATAAGGCCTCGAATTTTGGGGACTAAATTGTAACCTCAACCTCTCGTTTTTAGCGAGCTTCGAAATTGATCATATTTGCAATCACTATTATTTGTGCGGCCCAAATATTTCCATAAGCTAATTTGCTGCTAAAAAAAATAATTTTTTATCATTGAGATTAAAATGAATTCGAATGGCTCCTTTAACCCGTCGTCGGGTTGGCTAGCGCGAGTCGAGTACTACGCGATCATTGTAGCCGGTGGTTAAAAGGTTTTATCATGAATATCGATTTTTGCTTCATTACTGGGGCGGAATTATGAGGGCTTTTTCAAGGACTCCACCTAACATGGTACTCAGACTATCGTCAAGTAATCGCGAAAGTGGATCATTTATTTACTTTTTCGATGATACGAAGTGTAAATGTTGAGCATGGGATATACAACGCTTAATCATGGCCATCAAAGATTTGTTAAAGAGGCAGTGATCGGTGAAGATCTTCCATGGACTTCGTGAATCCAATTTTGTTGCGGATTGCATGGAGAGAATTGTTGCAAGGAGTCCAGGTGGCTTCCATTCTTTAGATGTGCCGCCGGATGAAGTCCGACAATGGTTAAACCACAACATTGCCGGAGTCTCATGCCCACGACATGTACCGATTTCTGGTATTTAGGCGCTAGCCTCTCTCTTCGTATCAAAAAATATATTTTTTTATTAATAATTTTGTATTTATACATAGTAATTCACAATTATAAACTATTAAACGTAATTTAAAAGTCATACTACAACAAATATGTTACCAGAATTAAATATTTCATTGCTTTTTTTCATTTATGCTCTAATGACCGCACAAAAATCACAACTCGATATGTTCAAACTCAAACACCTGTGATTTTATGTCGTATTCGTATTAGTTATTTATATCGTGCTTCAAATTTCACCATTGAATTTCAAATAAGTTCGAGCGCTAGTAATGAGTTCTACGCCTCTTGAACCGAACTATCAACTTCACGAACCGGCTTCAAGAACCTGCAAGACATCTAGAGGAATTCCCAATGAAGCACTATGATGTTCACATTAGTTTTCAAGCTCCGAAATTGTATAATTGCACTAAGTGTAATAGTCACACCTTGACGTTTTTCAAACTTGGCACTGAACTATAAATATTCACAAATAATACATTTCTAAATCATTCAAGTTATCAAACTCCTCCCAAATCTGAGTAAAATCTTCCAAAATATTCGTTCTTTCTTCTTTCTATGTAGGAAAATGCTCATTTCCTTATAATCAAATATTCAGGTAAACATTTCAGTCGATTCTCTAAGTCCACCGCAATCCTCCACCAGCTCGGACATGGTCAAATCATTCAAAAATGGTAACACTTAAGCTATGTTTGGTAAAAGTAGCTGATAAGCTAGTTGATAGCTGATAAGCTAGCATATAACTTATCAGTAAGTTTTTAGCTTATAGCTGAAAAGCTAGCTTATATGATAAAAGTGTTTGGTAAAATTAGCTGATAAGTTAGCTGGGATAAAAAATTCAACTAGCTTATTTGAAAAGTTACCTAAAGAAGCTTATCAAATAAGTTCGAACTTTTTAAAAAAGTTCACCTTACCAAACGAATCTTATTTAAATACAGGAAGCTTATAAGTTAACCAAATAAACTATAAGCTAGCTTATTTAATTTACCAAACATAACCTTAATTACGTATATTTCACCATATATAAAATTGTGCAGATGAATCTAAACTTTTTTCGTTCTCAAAAAACACAAATCGAGCTATTAACTCACCGCCCGAGCTGTATATAAACCTTATCCTATTGTCTATCGAGTGACTTTCAAGACATCGTGAGGCTACATCTTTACCAATTAAAAATAAACAAATAATCGTAAAAAATAAATGTAATTGGATCTAATTACTCTCAATCAATGGTTGAGGCCTAATTGTGTTGCCCACTAAATATCAAAATTGGGTAGGCACGTGGGCTTGCGGGGAATCCAACCCAAATACCCAATAAGAGTGGGGTTTAAGCCTTTAAAGCTCACGTGTGTCACGTGCCTGCTAAATCATAAATAAAGGCGAAAGATTAAAAAATTTAGCCTACAAGTTAAAATACTTGTAGACTAAGACCACATGCCAAAAATTTCCCTAGAATAAAATAATCACAAAGTTTTTATCCAATCCAAACAAATCTAGTGAACTACGAAAAACACAAAGCGCAATTATATGAACTATATCATATCATATCATATTAAGAACAAAAGAAAAGTTAAATAAATATTAAGCCGAATTGATTAATGTGTGCACTGAAGCTTCCAAAGATTTGCTGCTTCTATATTGATCTCTTCAAGCAACTGCAGCTCCGCTTCATTTTGTTCAAGAAATAGACACGCACACCCACGACTCTTTTTTGGCAATCAAAGATGATGTGCTCTGTGGACTCAAAAAACTGAAGTTGCTGCCCTATGTGAATGAATGAATCAAGTTGAAAACTCCTAAGCCCACTCGAAATATGTGAATGAATGAATCAAGTTGAAAACTCCTAAGCCCACTTGAAAGAATAAAACTCCCGTACGTATATCCAATATTCCATGTAATTAACAATTAGCATAACATACAACAAAAATAATTATATTCTTTTTTGTTTGTAAGATCATGTTTGTGACATTGTGAAACTTAAGTTTTAAAAAAATAGAAAAGAGAAGCCATTTAACTTCACCAACTTTGCAATTTTAAAATTTCTGTAGTAATAAAATAGTGAATAAGAGATTGGGTGCAATTTATGAGTATCTCCTAGACGAAAACCTAGCCTCTCCCCTTCACTTCTCACGGTTTGCCTTCTCCGGAGTCGGCGTAGTTCGGGCCGGTGGTCACTTTTGACTGCTCGGCCCGCCCCTGACGTCACGCCGTTCTGGATTCGCCGCAGGGGTCCGCAATTGAGCAAGCTTCTGGCCGTCGATTGCGGAGGGACGGTTCGACTGGAGGTTGATGGTGTCTCTCCTTGGACGCCGGAGGTCTCTGGCTGGTCTGGGTCGCCTTCTCTTCTTCGATTCCGAACCTTTGGTTCTGCCCTAGGTCGCTGACAGAGATGTGTGTTTTATGGCGATTCGGTCGGAGGTCGGTCGGCGGTCGGTGGTTCCGCTGTCAAGATACCGACGGCCTTCGATTGATGGTTGGTGTGGTGCTGGCGGTCAGCGATTGGACTCGGAAAGTTGGGTGGTCGGTCGTTGGGGGTTTGGGCTTCTGGGTTCGGGTCTTTGGAGCTTGGTTCGGGTCGTGCGATACTGTGGTGGGGTTAGAATGTGAGTGTGTCGGTGGGTGGGTCGAGACTTTAACAGCTTGTTCGTTAGAGTTGAGGACTAGCAGCCCCTTCCCGGTTCTCTGGTGTTGAGTCCGGGTTTGGGTCCAGAGTATTCTGGGCTCGGCTAGTGGTGTTAGACGGGTTTGGGTTTGTTCTGACTTGGGGTGTTGCTCTTTTGTCCCTCACGGTTGGAGATGGGTCGATTTGGGTTTGGTTTGGGGTCCGGGTTTGGCTTCTGTATAGGCGTTCGACAGCAGTTTCAGAAGTTGGATTGGGCTTCGGATTAATATTGGAATCGATTGTTCTCCGCTGTATCGACTCGTTAGACTGTTGGGGAAGGGCTATCTTTTGTTTTGCAGCTTTTGTTTTTGTTTGTTTGAGTCTGTGTTAGGTTTGTTTTTTTGGTCTGGGTGTTTTACCTGAGTGTTTGTGTCCTGTATTTTGATTTGGGCCGTTGGTCACTGTGTGCAAGGGAGTAATTTATTCTCCTGTGGGGAGCAGCTCCCTTCTCCATTCTCCTGTGGGGAGCTTTCGTTGTAGTTTTTGTGTTTGGTTGTTTTGTTGGTCGGAGAGTTGTGTTTTATTTCTAGCGGTTGCTAGCATCGGGCTTCTAGGTGGTCGTCAGACCTGTCCTCCCAGTTTACTCAGCTTAGGGTCGTGTATTCAACCTTGGGTTGTATCCTTGCACTTTTGTGCGTTTGTTATATATATTTCCTCTATCGATTTGGCCAAAAAAAAAAAAGAGTATCTCCTAGACAGAAACCATCATTTTATTAGAATTCACTTCATACTCAGTCTTGCACCTGTCTATGGGGGAGAGCCCTACTTAGATCGGTAAGATTTCACAACAAACGAAACGTGTTCAATTAGATTAGTTTAACGATTAGACCAATATACTGTTTTTTCATTTTTTAAAAATGTTATATTTAAAAACTATATAAATAAAAATATGATATTTGATAGTATAAGCATAAATGTTGTTTAGAAAAATATGAGAGTCGACCTATCTAACAACTATTTTGTGTCACACATGAATTTGGGCATAACAAAATGTCACATATAAAATGAATTTTCACTATGTACCTTTTTCTATGGAAATAAAAAGCTTACACATTAATAGCATATGTTAAATGAAACTTGAATTTCAAACAACTTTTTGACAAGCAGAAGTTGTGGGTAAAAAACTTGGTATATATATGGTGAGGTTAATAAATGAAAGTTGGAAAGTTTTAAAATGTAAGTAGGAACACACTAATTATTTCGCAGCAACATCCAAATTCTAAGTGGATTCTCATTAGAAACCACATTTTGTCACTTCTTCAATTAGTTGCAAGCTTTGTGGAATGTGGATAGCAAATTAGCAATCGCGCACTATTTGTGTCCCAAAATTGCATTTAACCATAAATTTATTGCCACCATCTAACAAATTGAAATTGTATATTTTGTATAAGAAAATGTCATATATTTTAAGTATTAAACTAAAAAATAATTATATAAACAGTTACAAGAAACTACCTTATACTATAAAGTACAACTAGTTTATAAAAAATCATCAAGCCAAAATAGCAATGTTTTAAAGTGTAAACTATTCAATTAATATCTGTTATGTTTGATTAAAATTGTTAAATGAATTGATCAACTTATGAGTTAGACTAGACTAATCTGATAAATTAATCGAGCTCAAGCTCGTTTTATTAGTTTAAAATTTAAAAATCTCATACATAATTTTCTAATATTATTACCTTAATTCAACTCGTGAATTTTAATAGATAAGTCGAACTCAGACTTGTTTACCGACTTAATTAACTAACAAGTTAAGTGGATTGAATAAAGTTCAAGCTCCCATTCAACTATCAAGAGATCGAACTCAAGCTTAATTTGCCTTGTTCACAACTTCTGAAAAAGTTGTTGTAAAAATTAAATGTAACCCAAAACCAAGAGAAAAGTAAAAAAGACTGGAAAAATCACTGGTT